CGACTGCGGTGGGTAAACGACTCGACGACAGTCGAAGTCGCCTACATGGCTAAGGCCATCAACTATATTATGGCTAAGGCCATCGCCGCCAACGGTCGACCTAGATTCGACTACGGTGAGTAAACGACTCGACGACAGTCGAAGTCGCCTACATGGCTAAGGCCATCAATTATATTATGGCTAAGGCCATCGCCGCCAACGGTCGACCTAGATTCGACTACGGTGAGTAAACGACTCGACGACAGTCGAAGTCGCCTACATGGCTAAGGCCATCAATTATATTATGGCTAAGGCCATCGCCGCCAACGGTCGACCTAGATTCGACTACGGTGAGTAAACGACTCAACGACAGTCGAAGCTACGCACATGGCTAAGGCCATCGACGCCGATAAGTCGACCCAGCTCGACTATGACAGCGAGTAACTCGACGATAGTTGAAGTTGTGCACACGGCTAAGACCATCAACAAGATTAAGGCCGAAAATAAAAGGTAAAGAAAGAAAAGAATAACAGCAAAAGTATAACTTCCATTATCATCCAAAAATACTTGTACAAAAGGACCCATTTACATCTCCAAATACAGCAAAACAAAATGAATACAAGTCCTAAGGGGCTTCGCCATTCCGATCACCGCCCCCCGTCGGATCGCCATCCCGTCCACCGCCGTCCTCTGCCTGATAGGCCGCAGAGATCCAAGAGTCGGATTCTAGACGGTTGACGTCTTCGGAGTTATAGCCTGCCCGGTCTGGGGAATCAGAACTATACCCACAAGTTTCACGGGCGACACGGACTATGCGTCGTTGCTCTTGAACCTCCGCCTCAGTAGATCGACCCGCAGCTAAGAACTCCTCGAAGACGACCAATCTGGCCTCGGCATATACCCACATGTCATGCGCCTCACGATGCGCATCCTCATCAGGCCTTGGCGCAGCAGTCCGCTTGAGGACTTCAATCTCAGCCGCCTTGGCATCGAGTTCGGTGGCCATAGCGGCAACCTTGATCCGCAAATCAGCAGCTTCCGCCGCTACCCCACGGCCAACCTCCAACTCTTCTTCCTTGGACTGGAGAAGAGTCTCCACTCAATGTTCCGGGCCCAGGGCGGCCATCAGCTGCTCGTCGATCTGCTCCAACTCGGCCACCCTCCGTTTCAGCTGGGCCTCTAACTGCTCCAAACCCTCACGGAAAACCCAAAATTCCGGGTCCTGCTTGAGTAGGTCCGCCAGCGCCTGATGCTTGACACGGCACCGCCGATATTTTCTTCACCACCTTGTTAAAGGTGGCTGCCTTCCTTTGCGCTCGCCGCCCCCTTCTATCTCCAATATGAGCAGTCTAAAAAAAAAAAGAAGAGAGAAAAGGAGGAAAGGCAAGTCAGTATGCATCAAAGTTTACTTTACGGTACATAAAGAAAATCGAAAAATACCTGCAGGCCGCGCCGGCAACCCTCCGGGATAGTTCCCCGTCGCTAAACCCCTTGTAACGTTTCACGCTCAGGCGGCGCACATAGCAGGGTCATATTCCGTTGCGGCCTGCTCGCTGTGTTGCCACAGGTTATACCCTCCTGGGATCAGAATTCGGCGTTAGATCTACCTGCCTCATCTCCACACGGGCCGGACCCGCGTTAACGCATCTGCATCCTCTGGGTGCTTAGGGCCCACCCTCTCGGCATCATCACCTGCTTCTCCAACGGTCGCCGACGAGCCGCTCTCCGGAATGCGTGGTGGCGAGCCCAAACCACCCCCTCCCCCCCTGGGGGAGCCGACCTCCCGGAACGGATGGCATCCGCCATAAAAACTGGCCTTGACTCTCCGATGGATCGCGTGCTCGTCGCCCCTCGTCTTCTGAGGCTATCCCCTTGCCGGTTATCAACCGACGTCTTTCCTTTCTGGCGGCTCCTCGCTCTCAGAAGTCTCCCACCGCCCGTGGGGATGGCATTGAAGGAGTCGCTCCCCTCCGTGGACGCCGCACGGCAGCGTTGAGGGCCCCCCGCAGCGCCCTCACTGGCGAACCACAGGGTATATACCCGTCTTTAGGGAATCAGTACCCGCCCCAGGTAAGATGACGACGCTCTTTTTCTTCTTCTTAGGAGCGCTCCGACCTGCCAACGCGAATAAGTCATAACAAATACGTAGGGAATCCCCAAACCGTAGCCAAAGAATTACCTGACGGGCCGTACTGCCCGAAGAAATGCAGCCCAGGTACGGCACTCCTCCGCATAGGTATTATTCTTTCCACCCACGATTTAATGTCACCAATGAACTGGGGTGGAGAAGCCCTCGCTGCGAATAAAAAAAGGAAGAAAATCAAAGAAATCACAATGGCCGTATGGTCAAAAGCGCAAGCAGTCCTGAATTCTACGAGTAGAAATACTTACGTTCTGGATTCCATCTTTCCGGGAACCCTTCGGGATTCGACACCAGGTGCTCCGTCCTGATGTAGAAATACTTACGCCAAAAGCGGCGGTTGGGCTTATCATCGGCTTTAACAACCAAGCCCCTTGTACCACGACCTTTCAACTGCAGCATGGTACCCCTCAGGTAACCAGCGCTGAACAACTGTAAGAGGTGGTGGACCGAGACGCTGCACCCGGCCCTGGCCGCATAAGTGGTCATGATACGGCACACCTTCAAAGTATAGGGAGTGAGCTGGGCCGGACACACATTATAAAAACGGCAAAGCTCCTCCATCAGAGGGTAGACTGGAAGGGCGTAACCGAGCAAGAACGGGTACTCATAGAATGTGCAATATCCAGGCCGGTGCACATTGGCATAGTCCGTCCCGGCCGGAACCATTTCCACGTGGTCCGGAATATGGTGCGTCTCTCGAAGATCATCTAAATGAGATTGTAATAAAACGTTGTGCTCCCAGGGAAGATCAGGGCTTTTAGTTGGAAAATCCCTGCGAACGTGCGTCTCCTTCGGAAGGACATTGTCTACGCTGAGAGGAACAAGGGCCTTCTCCGCCTTTTCCCCTTCACCACCGGAAGATGGCGGAACCCTAGACGGGGCATTATCTTTGGCCTTTTTACTACTCTGTCCGCGTTTTGTCATGATTATACTACTTAAGAAACGAAGCACTGACGATAGGAAGTGTGGTTTCAACAGAAGTGGGAGAGTCCCTCACAAAATAACGATTACAGTAAAGAAAGACAAAGGAGTATATCAGAAAATGCTTTCAGAAGGATTGAAAGTTGAATCAAATCGAACCTCTCTCATACTTATAGGGATAAGTTGCGCAGGAATCGAAGGGTCATGATTCAAAACGTGCGCCGGAAACCAAAATGTCACATCATCCTCTGAACCGCCTCGGGGGCAAATATAATAATGATGCATACAGGCGATGACGTCATTCCAAAAAGGAAGCCGCGCGTCAGTGGCTCAACGACGTCATATATTTCACTTCATTCATATTGCCGCCCCGGGTCGAGGTCAAATTCTCCTAAGCCGAGGTCCACGTTTCCGCCCATCGAAGACGCCCACCGAATGCGTCTCCAACGAGCGGAGGGACTAACTGTATAGGGTCAAATTTGACCCTCAGCATCTCTACGCCAGTGGGTACGCCCAGTGAGTGTACGCCAACTAACGTAGCGGGTACGACTCTGCCGTGGGAACAAAAGCGACATCGTTTAGGACTCAGTGTCTTCACTAGGGAGACGTTACCTATCTTTGTAACTTTTTTGATTCTTTCGAGGAGGGTCTCTTATTATATAAAGGAGACCCTCGCATTGTAAAAAGGGGATCTGATCTAATACAACTCTCTCCATTTTCTGGCTTTCTCTCTCTATCTCTACTTCAAACGACGTATCTTATTGAGTTCATATTGTTTCTTTGCAATACTAGATCTACTACAATATTATCATCTTTGCATCTCTAGGATTATTATATTTGATTACGATTTATCCTTTTCCTACTTTAGATTGTTTTTTAGCTTACAAAGTACATTGTTAACTTTTAAGCCAAACAATAGCAAAAATGGTGCTTGCCGGCAGCATGCTGTTTGCATTAATGCATCACATTTGTTTGCATCAGCTTCTTTTGATATGTAAATATAATATGTATGTGAATTGTGAACAATACAACTATAAATATACAACTTTTTGTTCCAAGCGCATGTACATAATATGCAGTAGTTATTTGACGCTTAATCAGCGAAAGTTGAATCTATTCAGCTCTTAAAGATGAAATATGTGTGTTACCTTGTTGTTTCTATTCAATTGTCTTCTCATAACATCAATTATATTCTCATAACACCAGCAAAGGGCGATCCCCGCCTAGTAGCTAAGAAATTTTGTCCTTTTTTCAATTCTCTATTACCATTTGCAAACTCAAATAATATTTTCTTTTCTTTGATTAAAATTTCATTAATTTAAAAAAAAAAAAAAAAAAAACAGTCCAGTGTACTAAGCTCCCGCTATACGCAGGGTACAGGGAAAGACCGAGACCACAAGGATCTATTGCCGCAGGCTTACCCTGCATTTCTAGAAGAGGCTGTTTCCACAATTTTCATTAATTTCAGAAATTTTTAACAAAAGATGCTGAAAGATGATACTTCACATATAATTTGTAAATATATAGTTTTATATTTTATATAAAAAGATCAACTAATAAATAAATACTTTCACTCTGTTTTATGTTAAGTGCAGCAGCTATAACATAAAACAGAGGTTTGCTGCTGTGAGGTACTTCAGCAAATCAAGAAAGTAAACACTTACATATGAAAAATATATGATCAAACAAAGTAGTGCAGAAAGCCAAGAATTGACATACAATTGCCATAGCAGAAAGCAGCTCAATTGGACAAGAGTAGGTTGCCCGGATAGTCAGCACCCCCACCTACAACCCCATGATCGTGGGTTCGAGTCACCAGAGGAGCAATATGTTCCAACAAAGGGGATCAAAGGGGAGCGGAATAAATAAATAAACAAATAAATAAAACAGCTCAATTGAGCAGAGTTAATCATATATCCCTCAGAAACCGATCCATTGTATGAAAAGGGAATACGTATGGGTGCGCAAACTGAACAAAAGAATTTATTATAACATGTCAACCCTTCTTATAGGGAAAGTGAATATAAATGACTGAATCGTCTGAATACAGTATCAGAGCAAATCCTTTGCTCAAACACAAAAATTGTTCAATTTCAAATGAATTATTTTCTGGCAGAACCCAAAACAACATAACTGAACTGCCTCAATCAAGATTTAACAATATAATTCTGTCGGCTGATGGGATTCATGACGATTGGAGGACCAGCAGTGCGAGGCCATGCCTGGAATTTCTTGTCTGTTTCTTTCGACCAATCATTGTTAGCAACGGTGCTTGGAGTAGTACCTGTTTCGAGATACCACAAGTGAATGTCAGTATAGCACAAGCGATTTCATGATCAAAGAACTAACAAAAGGAACCAGAACTTGCCTCCAAATAATTTCCCGTCAGAAATAACAGTATCACAAACATATGCAACAGCAAAGGATGCGACAATAGAACCAACGATGTACTTGGTAGACATCTTCGAGCTCCTAAACCCGGAAGATAACCTAAACCACCAAGTAAGAGAACAAATTTTTATCTATAAAAACATAAAAGCATTCAGTTATATAAATAGCATCTCAAGACAGCTCGTATATGATCTTTGTAAAACGATCATGAGGCTTCGGAAGCAATGATGTATAATTTAGAGATTATTTCAAGTCATAAAAATTAGTATCTCAAACATACAGCATTTGTTTAATCTTTATGCCACCATCATGTGATTTCCGAGGCAATGAAGTATAACGTACAGATTAGCACTTCTACGTCATTCAGTAGCCTACCGTATGATGTACCATTTGAATCTCTCTTTTTTTGAGAAGGTAAAAGTTTATTAATAAGGCACAAAATAGTACAAGAGGCAGCCCAGATAACAACATTCTCACGTTATCCTCTCCCTCCTAACATCTCCAGAAAGTCAATAAACTGATATACCATTTGAATCTCTAAAGACAAGTCCATATAGCTACATACTTCAAATCTTCAAACTATTTCCATTATCTTACTCTAACAAAATGTATGTTCAGAAAAGCAAGGCAAAGGGTAGAATGATGGAAAATAAGCTGTTGAATTACAAGCCGTAAAATAAGTAAAATATCCTTCTGTTCGAGATACTCGGTACAAGTGAAAGGAAAGTATTCATCTATTTCCTCGTTCTACCAGACCTTTGGGATGGGCTGAAAATATTAACACGAGTATGTTGCGTATCTTTCCCATTTTAGTTCCTAAAAGGAAGAAGGGGAAGGGGATAGACCTTGTACTGCCTACTAAACCTCTTCTTTCCACTAAAACATATCATAAATCAATTCTAGAATAAAGAACGGAACGCATCGCCAGCAGTAAATTAGTTCACGTCTGCAAGCCATTAGCAATCAACTGGAGTACCACATGAAAGAGGGGAAAAAGAAAAAATAATGATAAAGAAGATAATAAGAAACATATGCACAGATCAAAGTGTCTTCACATTTTTCCCCAAATACACCAATGATATGCTGCAAGAACTTTCAGGAGTTCATAGCTCTTCATATAGTATTTCAAGATATACCATCAATAGAATTCGACCATTCTTTGGGAGGTGAGGTTCTATATCCTTTTGTTTTTGTTATAGGTTCATTTTCGATATCAAATCTGAGTGTCTACACCTATACACGCGGCACAACTAGATCAACAGTTCCTTCCAAATCGATATTTTAATCCATCTTAAAATTCTGCAAATGCTCCCATAAACCTCTCTATAACAGCTTAGTTTGTTATGATATTTTTTGGCCGCTATAGTGAAGTGCTATTATAGAGGGAGGACATATATTATAACATAACATAAAAAACGGTTCCGAAAAAACTTAGCTCTTATAGTGGATGACAGTTATATAGAGATGTTGTTATAAAGAGGTCTGACTGTATATGTTCTACAAACAAAATATACTATTCAAGATATGATAGGATTAAAGGGTGCTACGAATGTTGGCTAATTCGAACATGTAATGGTAATGCTTCTTTTTGAATAACACAAATAACTAACACCAAATCGTGAAGAAATCAGAAAAAGAAGCGACCAGCTTCTATTGCAATATTCCATTTCCTCAATTTAAGGAGACAATGTTCATCAAAATTGTTTTGGTATGAAAAAGGCAATTATCAGTTAATCCAATCTTTCCTATACACAACACTGGATACATTTCTATTTTACCCACGTGTACATCAATCAGTTGATACAGAACAAAACAGAATATTACTCATTAATCCTAACTATTCAAATCCCACAGTTATCGTTAAAAATGAAATCAATCAAATCCCAAAGTTAACGTTAAAACTAATGAAAGAAATCAAACTGGGCCTTTCATGAAACATTAACCTATACCATAAATCAGAGGCGGATCCACGATTAGAACTTTATTCTACCACATCCATCTAATTACTGGGTTCAAAATCTACTGTTTGTACTTATTTATGAATTTTTTAACACATATACAAGGTCTAAATCAAAGCTACTGGATTCATATGAACTCGTAGCTTATTCATTAGATCCGCCGCTGCATAAAATATTCATGCCAAGAATCGAGTTTGGCTACGATACAAACCAAACAGACGATGAGCCATTAAGCAAAACCATTCCAATCACAAATAATGGGTTAAAAATTAATCAATTCAATCATTCAACCGTGGCTTCGATATCAATGAAGCAAGAAATAACCCATTAATCTAAACCGTATAACCGCACGTAAAAATTGTCTATAATAAGTATTAAATCAAATACCCTAAATGTAAAATTCATCTCAAGCAGTAACAAACATGGTGGCATAAGATTTTCAATAAATCTACACGTATTAGAGAGAGAAAAAAAGTAATGAAGTGGGGGTGGGGGGGGGGGGAGAAGGGGGTGGCTGGGTGCTTACCGTGAAGTGATGAAGAGCAGAGAGATTGGGAAATCGAGGAGCCTGGAAAATTTACGCTGAAATGTTTCGGAGTTGTACTTTTGAGAAGGGCTTTTGGAGGTTAGAAACGACAGCGTTTTGACCTTTATTTTGTTCGTGGCGGCGCTGTCGTTTTAAGATGGATCAACCATCAACCATGTACGAAATGGATTTTGGAGATCAGGTTTTGGGCCTAGGCCCAGATTTTACGGGGAAGTGCACAGTTAGTCACTAATTAGAGTTGTATTTACTCTTAAGTCACTGTTTAAAATGTATTTACACTTTAGCCAGAGCTTTAATAAAATTTCACCTGCCCGGACGAAAATACCCCTGTGCTAGATATGGTATCCTTAACTTCATGAGTGTTGTGTAAATATTAAGGACAGAGTGTCTTGAATTAGCACCTTCTGTTTTAAACTTTAGGACATCCTCTCCTTAACTTCATATGTGTAGTGTAAATGTTAAGGACATTGTGTCCATAACTTCATGAGTGTTGTGTAAATATTAAAGATGTGGTGTCCTTAACTTCATGAGTGCTGTGTAAATATTAAGGACAAAGTGTCCTGTATTTGCGCTTTCTGTTATTAAACTTTAGGACTTCATGTCCTTAACTTCATATGTGCAGTGTAAATGTTAAGGACATGATGTTCTTAGCTTCATGTGTGCAGTGTAAATGTTAAGGACATAGTGTCCTTAACTTCATGAGTGTTGTGTAAATATTAAGGACATGGTGTCCTTAATTTCTCATGAGTGTTATGTAAAATATTAAGGACAAAGTGTCCTGTATTTGTACCTTCTCTTGTTAAACTTTAGGACATCATGTCCTTAACTTCATGAGTGTTGTGTAAATATTAAGGACAACAACACTCATGAAGAAAGGGTAAAACCGTCTTTTCGTATTAGCTTTAATAAAGTAATGGCTATTTTTGCTCAGCATTGAAAATGCTGAATAAAAACTAAATGCCACATTAAAAAGCGGCTATCCCACGCCATTTGTACTCTTAATTTCTTGTTTATTTTGTATTTTTTCGATGGAAGTTTTACCTCATATAGCAAAGGTATACACCCTATTTATTATAAACCAAAATTATTTTAAAATATTATTTTCTATAGCTACCTTTTATATTTTATAGCAAAATAAGTATTTATAGTATATACTACCATTGAGGCATGAAATAAGGCATGAAATACCCTATTTATGTTTTTCCTCTCTCCTAGACAACTGGACATACCTATTTTTAAGGTGATTACCGTTACTGTATTCATGAATTCATGGCCCGAATACATGTGAATACATGCGCGTACAGCTGGACTGCCTGATTTAAGGCATTTTTTACTGATGTATTCATGAATACAGCAGCGCGAATATATGTGAATACATGCGCGTACAGCTGGACTGCCCTGATTTTAGGCTCTTTTTGCTGTTGTATTCATGAATACATGGCGCGAATATATGTGAATACATGTGCATACAGCTGGCCTAATATTAGGCACTTTTTTACCGCTATATTCATGAATAAAGCAGCGTGAATACATGCGCGTACAGCTGGACTGCCCTGATTTTAGGCGTTTTTGCTGCTATATTCATGAATACATGATGCAAATACATGTGAATACATGCGCATACAACTGGACTGCCATGAATTTTAGGATTTTTTTTGCTGTTGTATTCATGAATACATATTTTTCTATTCATGTTATCCATCTCAGATCTAGAATTAATTATCCTTGACTAGGATTTACCCTCTATCTTCTTATTTAATTAGTTTAACAAAATATCTCATACTTTTTGGTCAAACAATTTGACGCCGTCTGTGGGCATTTTCTAGTTAAAATTTTAGTTTTCTCTGCGAACTTGAGAATTTCGTAGGTAAGCTCTTGAAATAGTTAGACCAATCAAGATTGGATCTCTACATATATGTATGAAATGTTTTACAAGTTCTTTGTGAATTATATTGTTGCATCATGATGCTGGAAAGCATGTTGGTTATGCTAATGGAATAAGGTTGTGACTTGTGAAGATTTTCTAAAAGCGAGAAATTAAATTATGTTTGATATCAATATGAAAACTACATTTTGCTATAGTAGTGGCTTTGGTATGTCATCAGTGTAAATTTTTAGTGTAGGATTATGGCCATTATGTATTAAGCACGTCCATAATTTTATTGCCATGTTAATGCTAGACATCAATTTATATCTTATATATACTGCTCTCTCTTTTAGAGAGAGATGATAGCTTATTGTGTGACACTTGAAATGATAAACTTGTCCTACCTTTTATGTTGATGGTATGCCTTATGTATCCTTTGGTTTTGTGCACCCGGGATTGGATTACAAACGCGTCGGGATCGGGACTGGGACTCGAACTCGAGGTCCCAAGAAGCGAAGTAATTTTCTAGTCCATAAGATGCCCAGATATGACTAACAACGAAGCCGAGAACGAGTCCGTGATTGCAAGTCTAAATCTAGCACTCGAGTACGGAGCAAAACGAGTCATCCTACGGTGCGACTCTCGGCTCGTTGTCAATCAAGTCACAGGGACTTTCCAAATCAAGAAACAAAGACGCAAAAATACCAGGCCGAGATCTGCAAGCTGTTACCCGAGCTCGATAAATGCCAGCTCGACCAAATCCCTCGAGCAGAATATCGAAACAGACGGCCTTGCCAATCTGGTAGCGGACACTAAAAGCATAACCGGAGAAGGAAACGTGGTCACTCCCCTCCACTCGCCAACTGATCAAATCGAGGTAACGAACAATTTCATTTGGTTTTAACTGACTATTTTTATAAGTGAAATAGAAGCAGGTGCATTCTCCCAGATACACGAACAGGGAACGATTTCGCCGTCATATAAAAAATATCCGAAGATGCCAAGAGACCATATAGACTGGGACTGGATTGCTAGCTCGGAAAACATGTAAATCTCTTCGATATATGTAGACAAAGCATAAGTGCATGACGCTCACCCGCATTTTCGCCAAAGCGGCGCTGCATCGATTAAACAAGTTACATGCGACCTCGTTCGAATTCACGCCCATACGGCCCCCGGCCATTGTCAAACAAAGGTTACATTCGACCTCGCTCGAATTAACTCACATTTCACCTCGCTCGAATTAACTCACATTCGACCTCGCTCGAATTAACTCACCTTCGACCTCACTCGAATTAACATTTGACCCCGCTCGAATCAACTCACATTCGACCTCACTCGAATTAACATTCGACCTCGCTCGAATTAACTCACATTCTACCTCGCTCGAATTAACTCACATTCGACATCGCTCGAATTAACCAACATTCAACCTCGCTCGAATTAACTAACATTCGACCTCGTTCGAATTAACTCACATTCAATGCTCGAATTAACTCACATTCGACCTCGCTCGAATTGACTCACATTCGACCTCGCTCGAATTAACTCGCATTCGACCTCGCTCGAATTAACTCGCATTCGACCTCGCTCGAATTAACTCGCATTCGACCTCGCTCGAATTAACCAACATTCGACCTTGCTCGAATTAACCCACATTCGACCTCACTCGAATTAACCCACATTCGACCTCGCGCGAATTAACCCACATTCGACCTCGCTCGAATAAACCAACATTCGACCTCGCTCGAATTAATTAACCTTCGGCCTCGTTCTAACTGATTAAGGCACATTTGACAGTCCAAATTAGTTGAGAGACATTCGACCTCGCTCGAATTCAACTCGCATTCGACCTAGCTCGAACTTGATTCACAGCTAAACCTCGTTCGAGTTAATTATGGCAACGTTTGACTTCACTCGGACTAATCAAAGACACTCGATCACGTTCGAATTAACGCCTACCAACGGTTCCTTTAAAACCATCAATCGAGGAGAACGTTCAAGAAAAAGAAAAATAGAATCAGAACTAAGCAGCAAAAGTAGCATTCCAAATCAAAAGAGGTATCAGAAAAGGCATCTTACAAGGGTCGAATCGCCCGTCCAGATCTGAGGACGCGGATAACCTCCTCCGATGCCGCCATCCTTGCCAAAGCTGCCATCCCGGCCTCGTCGGCCTTCTCAAACTCTACCGTCTTCTCGATCAACTCACCACTCGAGTCATTGGCCCTGGTCGAACTCTGCTCAAGTTCAGCCCGCAGGGATACCACTTGGACCTAAAGATTGGCACCCTCAGCCGCGATCCTCACTAGTCGACCTTCCCATCCGAATTTCTCGAACTACGATTAATGAAGTCCGCTCACCGAGCTTGACCAAAAGACAACCTCGATAAGCGAAGGGACTAACTATATGGGTCAAAATCAAATTAGAGAAATTCGACGTGCAGAGACAATTGTCATGAGTAACTTGCGAATCAAATTGAGCTTTCTGGCCGAGGTCGAGCAGTGATCATCAACAAGGCCGAGGCGAGCAGTGATCATCAACAAGGCCGAGGTCGAGCAGTGATCTGAACAAGGCCGAGGTCGAGCAGTACATATAGAAGTAACAGCTAGTTTTGCTTTGGAATCTTCAAAGGGAATATTCTATTGAATATTCTCTCTAATTGTACTGTTTAGGGCTCCTTGGGATATCCTATATAAAGAGTATGAGAGAAGACTGGAAAAGGGGCGGCTTCTACAAAAACAGACTCTCTCTCTCTCTCTCTCTCTCTCTCTCTCTCTAGAAAAAATACAAACACATCTCTCTAAAGAGATTAGATTATCTGTTATCCCACACTCTCAATCAGATCCGAAAAGGGTTCTAAGATTCTTATATTTGTCTATCATTCATCTTTATCAAATGAAAGCGGATCCACCTCACTCAAGATTGGATGAATCTTCTCCTTTATTTACATTTTATTGCCATTTAATGTTATTTAACGCATAGTCTTTTTTCATACTAATAGATCCGGCCATAATTACTGCCAGCATCTATACTCAACTATATTTTTCTGTTCATGTTATCCATCTCAGATCTATAATTAACTATCCTTAACTAGGATTTACCCTCTATCTTCTTATTTAATTAGTTTTACAAAAAGTATACTTTTTGGTTAAAAATATGCATGGCTAGTGGATTTTACTCCCACTCGGTGTTTAGTTTATGTTACGGAGTATAAAGGC